GCAGAGTCCTGGCTGCCACCAGAGGCTCTCCCAGCGTCTGGGGTTTGCCATCTCCTTGCTGGGAGCACAGATGGGAACCCTGACTGGATGCTCGAGGGTGAATAGGAGCACCCTCAAAGAAGGTCCCCAGACCTGGAACAGGTGGGATTATGGGACATGGAGGAGAGGAGCTGGGTACAGGATTGGGGCTGGCATGGGAACTGGTGAGCCACTGGACCATGTTGGGAAGACGGCAGTGAGGGGGTGGATATTGCACAAGTTGGAGATGTGCTGATCTCTCATTCCTTGGGAATGCTGCAGTACTTCCTGGGCTGCTGTCACCCTGGCCACCCTTCTCAGTGAGAATGCACAGCAGGAGGCAAGGCAGAGCTGCCATCTGCAAGGGTGGGCCAGGAGCCACTCTTTGGGGCCCTCAGAACTGCGAAAATACGGTGGCCTGCACCCCATTTCCTCCATCACCGGAAACAAGCAGAGTGCTGGAAGTGTCCTTGTCACCACATCCAATCTTCAGAGGTCGCTGGGGGGCCTCACCTCAGTGCTGCCAGCCCACGGTGGCCCATGGTGGTGTCATGGGTCTCACCACACTGACCAAGGCTGTCTGAGATGGTTATGGTGGAGCTTGGCTGCTTGCAAGAGCCAGCTGGAGCTGCCCGGGGTAGACTGCCTCAGCCGTCTGCTCAGGCCGGAGATGGAACCCAGCCTGCTGAGAAGGTCTGGCAGGGCACTAGGAGCCAGCTGGGACTACACTTGAAGCTGGGCCTTTGAGATGAAACTGTTTTCCCATTCAAGTTTGCAATGAGCCATGTGCACTGGCCTGATCTGCCGAGAGAATTTATCCAAAAACCTCATTCCGTTTGGGTCTGATGCAGATAAATTTCTGCTGCCCTAATGATATCCTGTTGGTCCCAGGGCTAGCTAGTCCCCAGGCATGAGCCAAGCCTGTCAGATGAATCCTCCTCTGCTGATTGCCTCTTGCCATGCACAGCCACCCCATGGCTGTGTGTGGAGGGGCCCCTCACAGTGAGGAGCAGCACAGGAGAAAGTCACATCCCCACCCACATGTGAAGATGCCCCGCGGAAAAGGGCCTGCGGAAGCGCTGTCTTATCTGCCCATGTCACACACAGCTTCACCCTGCGCTCCCCTTCCTGCTGTCCCCACCAAGAAGGAAGCGTGGAAGCCTTCTTCTGCTCAAGAGCAGAGATCAAAGACAATATCAGAGTTTCTCTTCCCTCTGCTTAGAGGAAGAGGTTTTTACCAGTTGGGAAAACAGAGCCCAAAGGCGATTAACACCTTCCTGCAGCTGTAGCTCCCAGCAGAGCCACTGTTTCTGTACCCTGGATGCTGCACCTCTTGCAGCAGCTGTTTCACCTTACGAGTTGCCCTCGCTGGGGCAACTGTTGCTCCTCTGCCTCATATGATTCATCCAGAGTGCTGGAGCAGAGGAGCAGCCACGAGGCACCTTCATGATCCGAGTGTGACTCTGCCATCATCTTACCATCCCAGGGCCAGGAACCACCCACAGCACTGCTGGACAGTTGCCCAAATCAGTTGGGCTGCACTCAGCAGGAGGACGGTCTGGCCAGCACCAGGAAAGAGTCTGCTAGACGTGCCAGGAGTGGGGCTGGGGGCCAGCAGGGGGGCTGGCAGGGTGGCAGCTGGTGGGGTGACAGCTCCTATGTCTCCACAGGTGCATGGAGGCCCTGCTGGTGTACTGCAAGTCAGGGAAGAAGGAGGAGCCCTACGTCACCATCACCCGCAAGCGCTGGCTGCGGAAAGGCTACGAGGTGGAGATGGAGCAGGAGGTGGGACACTCGGAGCGCCGGCTGGCCACGCACCGCAACGCTTTCAAACGCATGGCTGTCATCCAGGCCTTCCTGGGCTCCACCCCGCAGCTCACCGTCCAGCTCTACATCAGTGTCTTGGAGAAGTACGTCCCTGTTGCCCGAGGTAAGGGTGCCTGGCATGTGGGCTCCCTAGGAACCCCACCAGGGCACAGTGCCAGCTCCTTAGCTGTGTGTGCCAATGTGGCATCCAAGCAATCCAAGTGGTTGTGTCTGGGATCACAACTGCCACTGGACTCCCCTAAAGGTGGAGCACAACCCACAGAAGTTGGGCACTCATCAGCTCTCTGCTTTTCAGCTTGCAGTGGGGATGAAGACAGTGGGAAGAGTTGGCCATGACTGAGGTGCCAGGCTCTGCTCCCAGCCCCGATGCTTGTGGGTATCTGCCCTATAGAGCCATGCCATCCCCTCAGTGCCCTGTCCCATAAAAATGGCAGGTGCCTGCCCCAGCCTGCTCCAGTCTCCATTAGTTTTTTTCTGTCTAGCTACAGCCCCTGGGTTCCCTACAGTCCTTCCACTGGATCTATTTCTCCACCTTTCCCAACAGCCGGAGCTCCTAGGCCAGCACTCCCACTCCCAGGCTCCCTTGCGAGCTCCCAGGATGTTTATGTGCTTGGAGGTGGATGTGCCAGAGCAAGCTTTTAACTCCCACTTCTGCATGCTACCAAGCCAGGCAGAACCTCCTGCTGCCAGCAGCTCCCCTCGAAGTCACCTCATCATGGGGACTGTCACCACCAGCCGTGAGCTGTCCCAGCAGTGCTCACACTGAGCCTCCTGCTGTGAGCCCCAGGGTTTGGCACCCTGCACTTCTCACCCAAGATTGGCACCCCATGTTTCCCACATGGAGCTGGCACCCCAGGCTTTGCACCTCAGGCAGCAGAGAGGCTGGACACACAGTGCAGTCCCTGATGCTGCCTGACTCCCATGCTCTCTCCCTCTGCAGCTGTCCTCATGGCCATCTGCCTGGTGTCGGTCACCTACGGAGCGCTCGTCTGCAACATCCTGGCCATCCAGGTCAAGTACGATGACTACAAGGTCCAGCTGCGGCCACTGGCCTTCCTCTGCATCGTGCTGTGGCGCAGCCTGGAGATCTCCACCCGCGTGGCCGTCCTTGTGCTCTTCAGCACTGTCTTCAAGCACTGGATCATCCCCATTGCCCTGGCCAACCTGCTGGTGGTCTTCTTCTTGCCCTGGGTGCAGTTCTGGCGCAGTGGCACCCACCTGCCCGACAACATCGAGAAGAACTTCAGCCATGTAGGCACAGTGGTGGTGCTTTGCGCCTTCACCCTCCTCTATGCCAGCATCAACATGTTCTGCTGGTCGGCCGTGCAGCTCAAACTGGCCGACCGGGACCTCATCGACAAGTCGCAGAACTGGGGCCGCCTGGCCGTGTACTACGTGGCCCGGCTGGCCGAGAACACGGCCCTCGTCATCCTCTGGTACTTCTTCAAAACAGACGTCTATGAGAACGTCTGCACCCCACTGCTGGTAGTGCAGCTGCTCCTTGGCTACTGCCTGGGCATCTACTTCATGCTCCTCTTCTTCCAGTACCTGCACCCCTGTCGCCAGCTCTTCCGGCACAACGTCACCGACTTCCTGCACTGTGTCTGCTGCCACCGGCACCCACCAGGGACCCCACTGTGCCTCGAGGCACCCTTTGAGCCCGGTGTGAGGCACAGCATTGTCTGAGGCACAGCTAGCACCCATCTCTTCCAGCTGACTGTGGGCATGGGGATGGGCAGCACTGGGCTGCACCAGCAGTCGGAGGATGCTCGCAGCATGAGCCAGGCACTGCCTGGTCCTGCAGTGGCAGCCAGTACCAGTGTGTCTTCACAGTGACAGGGGGACAGGAATGTGCTCACCTGCCCAGGACCATGCATATGAACATGAAGGAGGGTTGACTTGGATTTGATACAAGAAAGGAGTTTCTTACAATGAGAGTGGTGAGGCACTGGCACAGGTTGCCCAGAGAGATGGTGGACATCTCATTCCTGAACATATTCAAGGCCAGGTTGGATGGGGCTCTGAGCAACCTGGTCTAGGTGAAGATATCCCTGCTGATGGCAGGGGAATTGGACTAGGTGGCCTTTAGAGGTCCCTTCCAATCCAAACTATTCTGTGATTCTACGATTCAAGGACTTGTGGGGTGCCCAAATCACCTGCAAGCTGGCTGCTGTGCAGTGCACAGCCCATGGGGTGCCCCTACACCCCCACCTGCTGCTAGGATGCATACTGTGACCTTGGGCCATGGGTGCCACTGGGACTGTTTTAAGCAGTAAAGAAACTTTGCTGTGGCTGCGTGTCTGGGTGCTGGCAGTGACTCATGCAGAGGGTGGGGACTGTCCCGCCAGGGCTGGCATGCATGCACACACCTGCTGTCCACATAACCCTCATGTTCATGGGCACTGAAACGGGGCTGCCCCAGCGGGGCATATGGGGATGGGGGGAAAAACCCTCAGTGGAGCTGGTAAGATTCAGGAGCATGGTGAGATGGGGGCTGGCCTCATACTGTGCTTCCGTCAGCGTGGCCATGGCTGGGGGCCAGGAGAAACCAGCATGCCAGCAAAGAGCAATCCTGTCCAACCTGTTCCTCCAGGCTCAGGGCCTCAGAACTGACTGCTGTTCCCAGCTGGAGTGCCGGGCACTGCAGAGCTTGGGGCCTCCAGTGGAGGGCAGGCCAGAGGGGAAAGGTGGCTGGCAAAACAACAGGTATGCTGATGGGACCCAGGCATCCTGGCCCCAAACTAGGAGTGTGACCCCACTCCTCCAGTACCCATTTATAGGGTCAGGTCAGTTTGGGTACAAGAACAAGGATGCTCGTCCCCCCTCATGCTCACAGAGGTGCAGCACTGCTGGTGCTCAGTTTTAACTCATCTGCACTGTAATGGATCCCTGGGCCAGATTCTGGCACCGGCGCAGTGTCCCCAGGATGCTTCTCCTCCTCTGGTGGTTTTTCTGTAAAACAGAGGCAGTGGAGGGAGGTCAGGAAACAGCACATTGGTTGAACCGGTCACAGGATGGATCCTCCGCAACTTCTTCCCACCAGGAAATTCCTACCTTAAAAGAAGCCCATTTTTGTCCTCAAAGATTGTAAAACCCCAGGAGGAGCAGCCTGATGCCCTCCCACACCCAGTCATGTGTGCCAAGGGGACCCTCAGCTGGGGACCATCCCCGGCCGGCACAGGGGGCTGGTTTGGGGTTGGCCAATGCGGTCAGCCCTGCCTTCCCGGAAGGTGGCCGGCCTTTGAAACTACCGGCATTTCCTCGAAGGCTTCTCAGGGGAAAGTCCCCGCGGTGCAGTTCCCGCAGCCGCAGCCGGGATTGCCGCACCGCCTGCTCCCTCCATAAAACGTCGGGCAGGCAGCGGCAGGCGCGGGCAGGCAGCAGCAGGAGCGGGGACATCGCACCATGGGCAACTGGCTGGTCAACCACTGGTTCTCGGCCGCCGTCCTCGTGAGTGTGTGGGCTGGGGGGCTCACAGGGGTAGGGCAATGTGGGGGGCTATGGGGGCTACGGGCCCTGGGGCGCTCGTGGGAGAAATGGGGGCTGATGGGCTGTCCCGGGGCTGGGCTCTGGGAAGAGACAAGAGTCCCTTCTGCTCAGCCAACCTGCGTACTCAGCCAGCCAGGGGAAGGATGGGGGTTTGGAAAACTGAAATCTTAAGGGAAATGCAACTCAGAGGAAAGGGAGGTCCTGGAAAACTTAAAAATGCTCCTGGTTTGCCCACTTTGGCTGGGAACCTCCCACATGGCTCTTCTCCCTTCATGAGAGCAGAGAATCCTGTGAGAGCCCACGCCAGGGTGAGGAGATGGAGATGGTCCATAGGGACCATCTGCCAGTGCTGTGCTGTGGCATCACTGGTGTAACAGAGCATGCCTGGCCAGCACCCATCGACTGGTTGGCACTGTATGGGGAGCTATGAATACGTGGGGAAAGGGGAGTTTACAGGAAATTGGACTATCTTAAGTTACCTTAAAAAAGGTAACTTAAAAAAACCCCCAAACAAACAAAAAAACAAATAGAAGGCAGAGTGTTTTTTGGGGGAGCTCTGCAAAAAGTCAGTGGCTGTGAGAGGGGCCAGTGTGGGGTGCAGTGGGGTTAGGCAGGGGATGGTGAGGCTGGGTGAGCCAGCTCCCTGTAAAACTTCCTCCTCCCAGAGACTTCCCTGCGCAGCCCCGACCAACCTCCGGACCTGCCTTCCCGTTACACGGGTGTTGCCTGCTCCTGCCTTTCCTCCTTCCTCACGCATGGGTGAAGCACAGGGCTGTGGGTGACAAGACAGTAATTTTGCAAGACTTCCACATCTCCGCCCACCCTTGGCCCTGTGTCCCAGCCCTGTGCGTGATGCTGCAGCTCATAAGGAAACAGGATGGGATGTGCTGTCATGACACCCTCTGGCTGTGCCTGCACCTGATTGCTGCAGAGTGAGGGGCTCCCAAGGCCAGGGCCCTTCATGATGCTGTGACTTTTCCCCACAGGCAGCCTGGCTGGGCATCAACATCTTCCTCTTCACTTACTACTTTCTGTTCTTTGACCAAGATGACCGATATTTCTACACCAGGGCCATCCTCGGGGTAAGGTGCTCTCCGACAGCACCCTGCCTGCCCAGGCACATGTGCATCCTGGAGCCCTCCTGCAGTGGGGTGGGGCTGCAACATCCCATGCCCCTTCCTTGTTCTGTCCTCTTCCAGCCCACCACCATTCTGTCCCACTCCCCAGCCCAGTATTGCTCCTTGTTGGTCCCTGTCTTGATCCCTGTCTGGTCCCAGCCCAACAACATCTCAGCCCAATCCAGCACCACCCCCTCCCAGCCCAGCTCAGCCTCTCCCTTCCAAGTCTCCATCCCAGTCCAGCATTGCTCCCTCCCAGTCCCCAGGCCAGCATCACTCAGTCCCAGCTCAGCATCATTTGGCCCCATCCTAACCCAGTCCCGGTTACAGCACCAAGGGAGGTGCTCACCCCTCTTTTCTCCCCAGTCTGCCTTGGCGTGGGCTCGAGCATCAGCCAAGTGCCTCAACTTCAACAGCATGCTGATCCTGCTGCCCGTCTGCCGCAACCTCCTCTCCTTCCTCCGTGGGACCTGCTCAGTGAGTGCCCCGCAGTGGCATGGCCAGCATGGCCGTACCCGTCCCTGTCCCTGTCCCTATCCTGACACCACTGCCTCTCCCTGCAGTGCTGCAGGCGGACGCTGCGGAAGCAGCTGGACCACAACCTCACCTTCCACAAGCTGGTGGCCTATGCCCTGGCCCTGCTCACAGGTATCACCAGCACTGGGCTGGGGTATGGGGGCACGAGGGAACGGCCATGTGGGTGACTGCCTGTCCCCTGTCCAGCCGTGCACACCATTGCCCACCTCTTCAACCTGGAGCGCTACAACCAGAGCCAACAAGCCACTGACGGCAGCCTCCCTGCTGTCCTCTCTAAGATGCACCTGCAGGACAACAAGTGGCTGAACCCCATCCACTCTAACGAGACGGTGAGCACAGCCTTAGCATCCAGCCCCCTGCCACCACCTGTCCCCTGCCCCCCTAACCCATCCTGCCTCCCCTGCAGACCGTCGAGTACATGGCTTTTACGACCATCCCGGGGCTGACGGGGGTCATCATCACACTGGCGCTCATCCTCATGGTCACATCCTCCACTGAGTTCATCCGCAGGAACTACTTCGAGGTCTTCTGGTACACACACCACCTCTTCCTTGTCTACTTCGCTGGCCTTGTCATCCACGGCATTGCGTAAGACTCCTCACCACTCCCCAAGGCAGGACATTGAGGGGCAGTGGCTGCAAATCCCCTGTGGGCCACCCCAGGAAGGGTCCAGTGGGGTTGTGAACTGCCATTCCCATGGTGGGCTAGCCCAGCTGGCCTCGTGCAGCGCAGCTCAGCCCTGGCTGGGAGGCAGGATCTGGCCCTTGGGCTCACCCCTCACCTCCCTACAGCGGGCTGGTGCGTGGGCAGACAGAGCAGAGCATGGCAGAGGTGGACCCCCATCGCTGCGCCCAGTACCTCACACAGAGGGACCAGAACTGCACCCACCACTGCTGCAAAGACCCTGAGTTTGGGAGCATCCCTGCTGAGGTAGGGCAGCACTGGAATGGGTGAGAGGGGAGAAGCCCTCCCCATGGGAGGCTCCAGCCCTCGTCCTCCCCAACCCTTTGCCTTCCTCTGTCTCCACAGTCCTGGAAGTGGGTTCTGGCCCCCATCATCCTCTATGTCTTTGAGCGGATCCTCCGGGTCTGGCGTGCGCAGCAGAAGGTGGTTGTCAAGAAGGTGGGTGGTGCAGGAGCCTGTTCCTACCCCAGCTCCTTTCCTTGGAGTCGCTGGTGCTGCAGCTTCTCGCTGTGGTGGCCGTGGGGAGGTGGGTGGGGTGGTGGCCACAGCCCCTTCCCAGGGAAGGAGCCAGGCTGGGTGCTGAGCCCCGTCCGTGCCCCCAGGTGGTCATGCACCCTGCCCGTGTGCTGGAGCTGCAAATGCAGAAGAAGGGCTTCCGCATGGAGGTGGGGCAATACATCTTCGTCAACTGCCCCGCCATCTCCCTGCTGGAGTGGCACCCCTTCACCCTCACCTCTGCACCCGAGGAGGACTTCTTCTCCATTCACATCCGGGTGGCTGGTGACTGGACAGAGCGTCTCATTGACACCTTCCAGTCAGAGAACCCCAGGTAGGCTGGAGAGTGCCCCAACAGGCCATCACAGGGATTTGAGGAGGCCACACCTCTCACCCAGGCCCTCCCTTGGCCAGGATCGAGGTGGATGGTCCATTTGGCACTGCCAGTGAAGACGTGTTCCAGTACGAGGTGGCCATGCTGGTGGGAGCGGGAATCGGAGTCACTCCCTTCGCCTCCATCCTGAAATCCATCTGGTACAAGTTCCAGCAGGCTGACCAGACCCTCAAGACCAAGAAGGTACAGAGTGTCCCATGGGAGCAGCTGTGGGTTTTTCCATGCTGAGCTTCCCAGTACTTGGCATTGCGTTCTCCCACCCCTCTGTCTCTGCTCCATCTTGAGCAACTCCTCTCCCCCCACATCCCAGATCTACTTCTACTGGCTCTGCCGGGACAGAGAAGCCTTTGCCTGGTTTAACGACCTGCTTGCCTCGCTGGAGCAGAAGATGGCTGAGTCGGGCAAGGCGGACTTCCTCACCTACCGCCTCTTCCTCACTGGCTGGGACACCAGCATTGTGAGTTGACCAGAGGCTGTTGTGGCTGCAAGAGGGGACACGGAGTGGCCGAGTTGGGCAGGGCAACCACGACAACGGCTTTCAGGCACAAAGTCCGGGCAGTGGTGTTTGGTGGGATCAG